CACCGATAAATGGAAACATACATGAGAAGAATGAACAAAAACGGATAGAACTAAAAAGGAAAGCTCAAGACAGAATGAGTTGGAGAATGCTGGTTGACAGCCTATGCTCCACAGGGAGTAACAGACGTAAGTAAGTATAGAATATTATTCTGAATAATGTTCATATTGAATTGAGAAACGGAATTAATCTTGAACAAAACACTTGAAGTTAAAATAATCCATGAAATCTATGTTCTCCATATTAGTTATTCAATATTGGTCTAGAAACTGATCGACTATAGTCCTGAATATAAACAAGGGTAAGATATAAATTCTTAAAATACAGCAGGTAGTATGTTTTCACTGTAAACAATACTAAATTGTCATAAATGAATAAGTGTATTGTTTTCGTTTGTTTCTCAACTAATATAGTTCAACTGTTTCGTAAATAAATTGCTTCTATTATCCAATGAAAAGTACTGAATTGTTGAATTTGTTTTTCATTCTGTTATTTGCTTCAATATATTACAGAAAGAAAGAGTTCACGTTATGAAGTAAGTATAGCTGGATTATGAATGATGCAAAACCAAAAAAAAATGAAAGAAAAAGAACAAGGAACTTTTATTCTGTTCCGGTATAAGATCATCAGGAATGCGACCACACAAACGTACACAAAATCAATCATATATTTTGAAGAAGTTTATTAAAACAAAGAAATCACTTATAATCATTTATTGAAGCTTCGGTTATTCGTAAATGTACCCCCCCCTTTATGTGTACAAAAATCAATTTGCCGTAACCTTGAATTTACCCTGATAATTCTTAAGTCATTCTATAGCCTAGGATTACACAACAATCTCTTATTCCATTATTTGAGATCATAAGTTAATTGAAGCCAGACCACTATGAAAAACCTAGAAGTACCGGTTGATCGTTTCGTCCTATTGTGAAACTCCTTAGTAGTGCGCATTCATGATCCCGCCTCACGAGACTCGAACCCAGGACCTATCATTCTCGTACGTAAGCGCTTAATCACTCAGAGTATTAATCGCAATATATACCAGGTTAGAAATAACATTTATATTAGCCTAGTAGAAAATACTACTGTGGTGAACGAGAATATAATTGATGACAATCGAATGTATTTGAATACAAAATGACAGAATATGTCAGTAAAATCTGAGAATCATATAGTAAATACTTCATTTGCAGAATGTCAAACAATCGTCTCACACTTCATTGTTCTTTCGTTTCCATATCAATCATTCTCTGTTCTCGTTCTCTTTCCTTCTATCTCCTTAACCTTCCACCGCTAAGCATTTCACTTCCCATTCATAATACATACTATTTATGTCTGTTAACATCAGTAGTACACACCACACTACAATAGTTCTTAACTATATTTTATTCAAGTACCTTGCAATCAATAATCCTTAAGTATTTTAGAGAAATATCTATGCGATCCTATATCGGAATTAACAAGCTGTAGTCTATCCCAACATATACATATATAGTATCCTTGGTAGTGAGCATTGCATTCATGCAGTAAGATTTGTGTAGGTGTTCCAAAATGTACGTAAAAAGCACTTTTGTGTCAGCAATGACCCATATGAGGTTGAATATGTGCAAAGAGAAAATAAATTAAGAGTTTTCATCCCGGTAAAACTAAGTCAAGATTATGGTAGATTCCTAATGACAATTTGTTGTAATGTCGGTTTATGTGTTAGGCCCATATACCTTATTCTAGCTTCTGGACAGGCCAAATTATCCGTTCTTGTTGAGCCACGTTTTGATCTTGTTAACTATCCACTTATCAACCCTGATTGCTTTTATATGAGCGTATATGTGTGTACATCTTATCCTATTCATCACATATCTGTAGCTTATTTTTGTGTGACTATAAATATTGATTAACGCTTGGTTAAATGGAGTTGGTTCATATACCGTCTTCACTGCGCATCATTTCGCTCCGCTCTCTTTTATTTACTTCATCCCTCTGACTTCCTGTCCAGATCTGCGAGTGCACAAAATATATACATTCAAAAATCTATTTTTTCATTTGACATATTTAATTACGTTATTCACTAACACGATCTAAGTCGATAATTATCTACAATGATTGATGATATATATATATATATATATCTCAAATAGCAATTAGAAACGATCTCGCTGGAGTCAGATCCTAGAGCATTAAAGTGGTGAGCCCGTTGACAACATCGTCCGATTTGAAATTGATAACATAAATGCCACTAATATATATGCACTATGTACTAACAAGAATGAAGTTGAAATTTTACATTTTCACCCAATAAGTGAACGACGATTTTGACTAAAATAAAATCAGAAGAAGTTTGTGGAGATTTTAGAAATTTCATAGATTGAAATCATGAGCCATTTGAAACTAGACCACCATGGAAAACCTGGAAGCACTGGACGGCCATTTCGTCCTAGTATGGGACTCCTCAGTAGTGCGCCCGACGCGAGACTGATAGGTCCTGGGGTGGAATTTCGCGGGGGGCGTTATCGTGGATGCGCACTACTGGGGAGTCCCATACTAGGACGAAACGGCCATCCTGTGCCTCTAGGTTTTCCATGGTGGTCTAGCTTCAACTGACTCGTGATTTTAATCTGTAAAATAAAATCCTTGGTTTCAACCTAATATTAAAATCATAGTCCCTGTTGGTTCACTGTTTACATTAGAAATGGAAATAACTATTAAACTCTTAATGATTTTCATTCATTCTTTAGCTATAGCCACTCAATCCTTTAAACTGCCTTTGATATGACTCATTTAATAAGATATGAATAAACGAAGGTTATAGAATCTTTATAACACAAACATATCTCATTAAATGTAATGATTTATGATTCCGCCCAATGTTTTCCACCCACTTTTTGTATTCTAGAGTATGTACTACCTGAATTTTAAGTATTTTGTTTATTTATCTGTTTAACTTGGATAAAAGTTTATTACACCATTTTCTGTCTATAATGATATACTACTGATGCTGTTGATTATTTCATCCAAACTATTCTGAGTTTGAATCAGAAATGTTAATGGTGGAGAAGATTTGTAGCTCAGGTGGATGATTTTGGTGGAGTTTTGTTAATATTCTACAATAGACAACTTCATGAAATGGAACTCGACACACTATTCTCATGATACAAAAGTCGAACTAATCGAATTAAATGAAATAATCAATCAGTCATCAAGTATTTTTTGCGGTACATGGAAATTTGTCAGTATCCGGCCGTCGACATCATAAAAGGAAATTTCTCTTAGAGATATTTGGAAAAGAAACTGGACTAGGGATAGTCTTGAAAACATGAGGGTTTAATCGAAATGGTCAAGAGGTTACTGCATGATACTGGTCATGAATGGCTTTCCCGTGAATATTTTTAGATAAGTAAGCTCTACTGTCAAAGATAGAAATCCATGGGGGGTCATATGGACTATCTTTAGTATCAACTTCTCATAACTCCCCACCCCGTCATGAAAAGTTCGTATCATTGTATATCCTTGTTGTCTTCGGGAACCAGCTTACTTTTGTCATGATCCTGTACAGTGAACAATATGACTTTGCCCTCGTATTATTAATTTGTTGTTTTCAGTCTTATGGCTCTACAACTAACCTGTCTATTATAATAGGACTTAAAGGAATGAATGTACTAGTAAATATAGGTTGACAAGTTTATCATAACAGCCAAGCCCTAACCATCACGTCAAGGTACTACTACTACAATCCGTTGAAATAAAAATCACAATAGTAATATCATAGGTAAAAAGTATTATATCTAGTTTATATACACAAAAACAAACAATTTTCTTAATCAGTAACTGTTATATCCTAGTAAAAATTAAGTTACGGGTAACTTCTGAGACCTATTAATGAACGAATATTATATATTTATATTCCTATTGTATAACTATTTAGTAACTAGATTATGTATATCTATATAAATTCCTTTTATTATAAGCTTCATTTTAATCTAGAGATTATAATTACACGATTTACTGTTTTTAAGTTCCATCAGTCAGTCAGTGGTCTTGAGTGCTGTTAGAGATATGTGGGTGGCTATCACTTCCCGGTTGCCCACACCGTAGAAGAGTTCTTCTGGAGGTACCTGAAAAGCAAATTGGAATAGAGGTGATCTTAGTGACTTGAGAGCGTGACCGCAATGTCCAAGAGACAACTGCTTGAGATCGGTCACACACGACCTTTTTATGAGTAATTTTTGTGTTATCTCCGTACTTGTTGAGACCTTACCGCCGGAGACGGATATCCGTGGGATAAGGTGATTTGTGCATCTTTAGGGTCAACCTATTCTAATCCCATCGCTCCTTGTGGGAAGGAAGCATCGCTGTTACACTGGTTGTTTGAAGGAAACACCTTACTGCTGTTACACCTTTGTATAGTCAGCAGTACGACTTCGCCTTCGGACTACGGGTTTTCTGCTTTTAGTCTTATCGTTCTTCAACCGACCTGTCTGGCATGGGAGGACCTTGAGGAACGGTTGTTCCAGCCAGTATAGCTCGGTTGCTTCATCACGATAGGCAAGCCCAACCACCAAGTCAAGGTAGCAACAACGGTCGGGAATTCTTAAGTTATGTTCAGTTTATTGATAATTACAGTCTACCACATTCACAGCCACATTTTGGCTTTATTATGTATGAATGTTATTTCCTATTTCATGGTGTGATGAGGTCTGTTTGGTTGGTATATAAACCAAGTATGTTTGAAATCAATGATTCGTATATAGAAACCTGGTATTGATGTTCTGGATCCAACTGAAAGGGCTAGAAAAACAATGAGATAACAAGGACGCTAGGCTGGTCATACTGGTTGAGCGTCGTCGGTTTAACACAATACTAAAATTGAATAAGTCGTATTTCAATTGGCAAACAAACCACGTAATAACAAGCCGGTTTTAAAGTCACAACAGTAATCACTTCATTTTTTAAGACTAAGGCTTCGAAAACTCACCCTTCCGTAATGTAAAAATTCTAAGGAAAATGATGATGGAAACAAAGATTATACTATGAATAATAATAATAATCTTAACAATAACCATTTGAAATAGAAAAAAGAGCCAAAATTGAATCGAAATGGAATAGAAAACATACGAATATTGATTTGACAGTACAGCAAAGTAGCAGGCGAAAAACCACATTTGTTTTACCATTATAATTAATAAAGTTATATTTACAGGTAGGCAGTCAGTCAGTCAGTCAGTCAGTCAGCAACAACGTAGAACTTCGTACATATGTACATCAGTTCGAGTTGCCATACTACATTAGCACAGAGATATAAATGTCGATTCAAATCTCATAGTGGTAAAGGTAATAAAAGTATAAACAGTAATCGGAAAGATTAGGGTTTGAAGTTGTTATTCAAGGAGTACAATCCAGCGAAGTAAATTTGGAACGAGAAAAAATAAAGGGACATGAAGAATTCAGAAGATTAGACAGGTAGTTATGATGATAGTCAATTGAATTCGACCACAAATGTCAGAAGATATAAAGAGATAAGTGGAGTTATCGAAAGAATATCAAGTATAAAGTATTACATCATTGTTTAACTGTGATTAAATGAATGACTATTGAAGTTTGTCAACATATATCTGGAATTTTCTTCAGTTTATGAATGTCTGTGTCACTCTGGATCACATAACACTGTCAGTCATTTGTATGAACATAGATAGACGTTGTTTCGGCTCTGAATTAAAGAAAAATATACGATAAAAAGTAGTTTGGGCATCGGTTACTTTCTTAGAAGTATTTAGAATAATCTCTGCTAACAAGTAAATACAATAAAACAATGAATAAACTTCATTATTGTTATCTTAATTATAGCGAATACAATGGACAGGTTGAATGCAACTAGATAATTTGGACTTTGCAGACGACCTAACCCTTCTGTCCCATACACACGAACAAATATAGGTGAAGACAACTAGTGCAGCAGCAGCCTCTGTAGCGGTAGGCCTCAACATACACAAGGGAAAAACCAAGATCCTCAAATACAACACGGATAATCTCAACACAATCACACTTGATGAAGAAGTTCTGGAAGAGGTGGGAACTTTCATGTAACTGGTCAGCATCATCGATGAACAAGGAGAATCTGATGCAGATATAAACGTGAGAGTTGGTAAAGCAAGGCAAGCATTTCTACAATTAAAGAACATATAGAACTCAAAAAAAACTGTCAACCAATATCTAAGTCGCAATCTTCAATACGAATGTCAACACTGTTCTATTGTACGGAGCAGTAACTTGGGGAACTACCACAATAATAATCAAAAACGTACAAGTATTTATAAACAATTGTCTCCACAATATCTTGAGTGTCCTTTGACCGGATTCTATCAGCAACAACCTACTGTGAGAGGCGACAAACCAGCTTCCATCTGAAGAGGAAATTAAGAGAAGATGCTGGAAGTGGACATGACATAAATTACGAAAATCACCAAACTGCATCACGAAACAAGCTCTAACTTGGAATCCTTGGAAGTTCGTATTGTTATCGAAGAGTTTTTAAAAGTCACGGTAAATTAAGAATACGTACTTGACCACTGTGACTACAAGAATATGTTAAGCATTGATACATTGCAAGTATTTGAATACTCTCAGTAATATGGTTACCAATTATTTATCATATGTACAGTAAAAAGGATAAAAACATCAACTGTTCATTTGTTTGAAATCAATTTCAGCATGTCAACTAATAGGAAGAGATATCCGAAATGAGCAAGATGGTATACAGATATTTTGGATGAGTCAATTCTTCTGACCGACTATATGATGAAAGTATCCAGAAGAAGTACCTCAGTGCTGTAAGACACGAGATTTAATTGATTTACAACCACTTAGAGCATTGACACTCAACATTTTCAACGCTTATTTTGAAATCTGGGTTATTGTTACTGGAGCGCTTTGTGGAGACTTTAATGATTATAATTCTCTATATATGGATTGTTTAAATCTTTCCATTGACATCTAAGATTGAAATTGATCAGTCACTTATTGGCAATTCTTTATCCTGTGAAGATTGCTTCAATATTGCTTTAAGTCACAGTCAGTGTAAGCAGAGATAGATAATTGTTAGCAGTGGAATTCAAGACTCAAACATCTTCCTATTTATGACTCGTCAGTTGGACATACTTGCATTCTAAAGCTGATTTGATTATACCATTCTTGAAACAAGCGGATTAAAATTCAACCGCTAGCATATTCCAATACTTATTGATCAATAATAGTGTAAATTCATTCCACTAGCAAAACAAATATCCTAGGCAATTACATTTTCAAGAATACTTTGTCGAAAGTAATTTTGTTTTCTTTTTTCGTTACAGGTTACTTACGAGTAGCTAACATAAGTTTACGCATTATTTACCACAGATTGAAGGCAATGAATAATTGAAAGTAGGTAAAATACCATAGAGATTCATCTCATAAACAAACATTTTGATTAAATGATCATGGTTACCAGTGAAATAAAACAAGATAAATTTCCTGAGATCTTACTATGAACATTTGAATAGGATTAAAGATGAATATCTACTAGAGGATTGGAGAAATATGAAACTAGACCACCATGAAAAACATGGGAGCACTAGACGGTCGTTTCATCCTAGTGTAGGACTCCTCAATAGTTCCTTTCAATTGACTCATAAATTCAACTATCAAATTACTATAATATTCACAAAATCCCTTTATGAAACATGAAATTGGTCATGATTCAGTGATCACAGTCAAGTATAACTAGTAGTTAATTCTATTAACTCCTAACGGTTTCTTATCACAATTTTACAATACATGATTTTAATCATAATTGATTGATCACTGTGTGGTGATCAATGTCATGCGTGTCTAATCCTTATTAGTGCAGATCGAATGGTAACGTCTCTGACTGTGAAGCTGGGTGACACGAGATCGAATTTGCCAGGGAGCACCAGTTCCCTCAAGATTACAGGTACACCTTGCTGACGAGTGCCAAGTAGCACAAAAACCGGGTTCAGGGTTTCCTGTTGACTACCTCCAACCACCATCTAATCTCAATACATGATTTTAGCTTACACTTTTATTAATTTCGAATTCATTCAGTGATGTTGACAATTAATGGATAATCTGTGGTTATATACAATGGAACTGGTTACCAGCGATCCTCTTGACCTAATGATAACAATTCATTATAAACATATACTTTCATAAAAATTATATAATAGTTACGCATGATAAAACAAAGAATAAATAACATACCATGTAAGTTACCACAATCTTGTATGACAATTATGATTACGTACAGCATTTATATAAGAGTAAGTTTGTTTAGAACGATTTTTTAATTCGAATGAACGATTATTAAACATTTCTGAATTGGTGGTCATAATGGAACTAGTCGATTTCTTTTGTGTTGTAGATCTAAAATTAAATATATATAAATTTTAATTAGAGAGGGATTTTGTGAATATTATAGTAATCTGAATAGTTGAGATCATGAGAAACCTGGAAGCACTGGACGGCCGCTTCGTCCTATTGCGTGACTCCCCAGCAGTTGGCATCCACAATCCCGCCTCGCAAGATTACATTCTCAAGAATCTAATACATGATGTAATTCAGCTTAAGAATCTGTATTATTCACTTATGGTTTTACTGTTAGTCTACTATTGCCAATGGAAACCTATTCAGTAATACGTAGTAAAACATTCAGTACAGGTAGAGACAGGTATCTACCTCAGACAACGGATGAATGGTTGCACAGCCATTCATGGATCGATGAAATTTAGACATTAATAACGTAAAATACCGATTCGGTGGTCTAGAGGTAAAGCGTTCGTACGCGAAACCAAACGTCCTGAGTTCAAACCCCACGTGTGGGACCGTGGACGCACTGTTGAGGAATCTCGTACTAGGACTAAACAGCAGTCCAATTCTTCCAGATTTTTATTAGTTTTCCATCTTACACTGACCCATGAATTCAACTACTAAAAAATATAAGTAGTATTTTCAATAGTCAACTGATAAACATGATTGTACATGTGATTTCGATCATACATATATACTTGTTTCATTCACTAATATAGTGGTAAACTAATGATTCTCCACATGATATACTATTTCAGTGTGAAATTTTTTTCTTTATTATTGCTTGGGACATATTTAGACATAAAAGTATTTCAGAAAATTTTGTTGTTAAGATAGAAATGATATGCTTCATAACCAGTGAACTCCAAATAGAGATATCCGTCTATCAGTTAAGGGGAGAGTATACTGCGCCGTAGTTCGTTCTGTTCTACTTAACGGCTACAAAACGTGTTCATTAAGAATAGGAGATACTCGTAAGCTGCAAGTATTTAATCACAGATGACCCAGAAATATTGCTTGCATCTGCTCATACACTAGTAAACATCGTGCGTTGAAGTAGGCAGTGACTGGAAATACATGAAACATATTCTAGCCACATTATTCGATAAAGATTCACCACCTCACCAACAAGATTTCCATCTTTACCTAGTATTATGCATCTGATCTCATTATTGTTTACTCGGTAATCTCAACATACATAAGCAATACTTTGAAGACGCATGCTTTTGAGAAGCCCCTGAATGCCCTAGTACAGCTAAGAGTGGGGAGAGTCAACTCTCCATCACGAAATGCTCTCAAGTGGCCACGTGCATACAACCACTGCCAGGGTAGTCTTACTAACTGCCTTCTCGCACCAGGGGTGTTCTTTACGAAATTGACAGGACGAAAAGCGAATATCCGGTTTTTTAACCAGGTTGGTGGATATGGAGGATCCACTTAGGTGAGCTAGGAAACCCTGATTCCAAACCAATGATGTACATGAGCTCTAAGATCATAAGAAAACAAATGGCGAATGAACTTATTGTTGGTCACCTGCTACCATGGAACTGCAACATTGCTCCACTGCCTTGTAAATTAGACATTTAAGTCACAGGCTCGGGATGTTGCCCTCTAAGAAAACCACCTAGTTCGGTTTGGGCACCCGGGTGGTATCCCATCCCTCACATAAACGGAATGATTATGTAAAGCATATCTATTTGGTGTCTCCTTGTACCAATGTTTATGTGTTTAAATAAATAAATAAATGTTTTTGCGACAACCTGTAATTTCTTCATGCAATTTGGAATATCAACAAAGATGACCACAACTAGTAAATATCTGTAATTACACTTCAAAAACATACCTCTTATATTCTTGATTAAGTCTCAAACTATTAAGAAGGAAACAGTTTAGCCAGTAAAGAACGTACATCTTATAGATAAAATGTTCATCACAGTTCACAAGAATATCACAACAAAATAATTAATAAGTTAATTCATTCTGATCTATGATCTCCTAACAGTTACTTCAATCCAATGGATAAATACTGCATAATCTCAATTATTTATATTCATGTATTATGAAAGTTAGTTTAACTTATATTTTTCATTGAAATGAGCATCAAAGTTGAATTCATGAGTTCATCTAAACTATATCATCATTGAAAATCTAGAAGCACTAAACAACGTTTCTTCCTAGTATGGGGAACTCCTCAGCAGTGAGTATCCACAATGGTAGTCGGGGCAGTCGGGGATTGGGTATACGTAACACATGTTCCAGTCATCTCAGCTGATGAAGTTTCATTACTTCATCAATTTCTTTGCCATCCTTACCTAGTACCCGTACCCTAACAACTGTATTACTTACTCGGTGGTCCCAGGATATAGGAGCAATGCTTCGAAGACACCTATGATCAAATACTAGTATCCTACGAATATCCTCTACTCTTACCGATCATGTTTCACTGCCATAAAGTAGGATGGAACGAACTACTGCGCAGTAAATCCGTCCTTTAGCCGGTAGACGAATATCTCGCCTACCCCATAAATGACGCAAGTTGGCAAAAGCTAGTCGAATCTTTTGTATTCGTGCTGAGATTTTGTCACATATCAAACCGTTATAGTCACACAAAATAAGTTACAGACAAATGATGAATGAGATAAGAAGTGCACACACTTATGCGCTCATATAAAAACAGTGAAGGTTGATAAGTAAGTAAATAAATAACAAGGTCAAAATGTAACTCAAGAAGAATGAATAAATTAGTCTGTCCAGAAGCTAGGACAAATTATATAGGCTTAATATAGTAACCGACACAACACACACCATTTAACTACAGCAGATAATACAATTCGATTTTCCAATAATTACTAGATGAATATGTGGTGGTCGGTATTCACTATAGCCCTTAAACTTCATATATTGTTCATCTTGATAACCATCCGTAAATAACGACCCAACGGTGTATTAATTAGATGACGAATAAGATAACCAAACTTACAGGTACGTTAAGCAAGCATGAAAGAGTAATGCCGAAAAGCTAGCAGGCGAGTCGAGTGAGCGAGTCACCAAGTCAATGAACAGGATTAAAATGTACATATATATACATAGTGAAATGAATGGATCCTCAAATCAATTAATAAACGACTAATAATAAGGTTAGCAGAATCAAAATATGAGTAGGCAGTAAGCAAAGCTCAAGTATGCATATTCATACAAGTGCAACAATAATAATAAAGGTACACTGATATAAGTTGTTATTGTACAGATGGCTCCGTCCTTTAAATAAGTTAATAAAAGGGCTTAACCAAATTGAATGTAAACAAACTCAATTGCACATGAGCTGCCATAACATACATATTTTTCTTTTGTTTTAGTATAAGACATTATGCCGAGACTATGACACATGGACAAACCAATCAGATTTACGATCACATGTCTTAGATATTGGCGCGAAGTTCACTCACCCATTCGTCCAAGTAGCGTCTTGACATTTTAGCTAACGTCAGTTCGTGGTGCTAACCATATATCTAAAACCTAACTCTTACGATCAACTTTAAATCATAATTTTAATTCCGCTTACTGGTTTATAACCCTTATTTGGTCCTAGTTATTCGGTGGACACTAGCGTTGCTCAAAGGGCGTCCATAAATTATAGTCTTACCTGTTATATCCCGATGAGAATAATGAATGGTCACTGTTGGAATCTATTTCTGTACTAATACTATAGGTAATTTTCTATCGTATGATTGTTAAGTAACCAAACGATTCATATTCGTGTTCCGCTTAACATAAGATTTATTATGACCTATGAACTATTACTATATCATTTACCATTCTTGAGTTATGTCCAGTCTGTTAGTTACAGGCTCTCACATTCACAGCCACATATAGCTAAATCTTGCACAAATGTTGTTTCCTATTTTATGGTACGATGTGGTCTGCCTGGTTGGTATATAAACCCCGTATGTTTGAAATGAATGATTCATATCGTTGAGGCTGAGCTTGATGTTCTGGACTTAACAGGCAGGGCTAAGCAAGAAGTAGGACCGATAAAGAGTCTAGGCTGCTCGTACGTGTTTTATGCATCATTGGTCCGATCGATAATTCACTGTTCTCTAATTGGCGGTATCATTACATTATTACATTGATAGGGGCACTGAGCAAAAGTTATAACAATTGACGATGGGGTGAAAAACAAAGAACCAAAGGCACAAAACTAAAAGTTATGACATGACCGATATTATTCAACATATATAATCCTTAATTAATACTTACCTATTAACATTATCATATACATTATGTAATAGTCCAATTGTCTTCATTTCATTATGATGCTGATCTATAGGTTTTAACTCATTAAGATCTTGTTTTAATTTAACATTTCCATTATCTATTTTAGATACATCATAAACACTTGTTAATGTATTATTATTATTATTATTATTATTATTATTATTATTATTATTATTATTATTACATAACTTCATATCTATCATAGATATAGGTATTTCATCATTGATATTTCTATGTAATTCATTCATTTGTTGATTATTTAATGTTTTATTATGAATATGTATTTGATTATTTAATCTTGATTGTTCATCCATAACTATTGTGTTACCATAGTGATTATTAATATTCTTAGATAATTTTTGATAAGGATAATAATAATTTGAATAATTTAAAATAGGATATATTATTTTTCTTTTATGAATTAAATTATTTGTATCCCAAATTTGTATAATTGTTGATGGACTAATTGAATATTGTTCAATATTCAATGTATCATAATTAATTTGATTAAAAAAATTTGAATAAACAACAAAATTATTTGATGAAAAAATTGGATTTTTTAATTGATAATATTTTTGTAAAAATTGTAACATTTTTTTAGAAGGATAATCAATAGCCAAATAAGAAGGATTAATATTTTCATTCTGAAAAAAAGGGAAAAACATTTGGGAAATAGAAAGGGGGGGAGAAATGCGAAGAAGAAAAAACAGAGGAGGGGGGGTGAGGGCTCCGAAAGTGTTATATTCTAGCGAAGATTAAATGACGAGTAACTCCTAAGACCTAATAATGGATTAATATTATATATTTATATTCCTATTGTATAACTACTATTCAGTAACTAGATTATGTATATCTAACTATATTCCTCTTATTATAAGCTTCATTTTAACCTAGAAATTATTACTATTATATGATTTACTGTTCTTAAGTTATGTTCAGTTTATTGATGATTACCAGTCTCCCACATTCACAGCCACATTTTGGTTTTATTATGTATGAATGTTATTTCCTATTTCATGGTGTGATGAGGTCTGTTTGGTTGGTATATAAACCAAGTATGTTTGAAATCAATAATTCGTATATAGAAACCTGGTATTGATGTTCTGGATCCAACTGAAAGGGGTAGAAAAACAATGAGATAACAAGGATGCTAGGCTGGTCATACTGGTTGAGCATCGTTGGTCTAACACAATACTAAGATTGAATAAGTCGTATTTCAATTGGCAAGTAAATCACGTAATAACAAACTGGACTTAAAATCACAACAGATAAGGTAGTGTATTAACAAATTATACGTTTTATTCAAAATACTATAACTCAGTACAGTGAAATGGAAGTATTACTTGGAATCCTCAAGGCTAAAGGTGAAGAGGAAAACTAAACAACACAGTATGCCAAGAAATAGAGACAGACAATACAAAATTACAGAATATCTTAGTAAAATCTGAGAATCATATAGTAAATACTTCATTTACAAGAAATCAAACAATCGTATCAGCCTTCATTGTTCTTTAGTTTCTATATCAATCACTCTCTTTTCTCGTTCTCTTTCATTCGATCTCCTTAACCTTCTGCCGCTAGGCATTTCACTTCCCATTTATGATACATGCTACTTATATCTAACGACATCAGTAGCACACATTGCACCATGACTCAATTCAATGTGACGATGAACTGTCGTTGATTCAATCATTTGTTTAAAAAATAACCCGTACTGGGATATATCACATGACTGAAATCACATTACATACATTTAATGATTTTTTCAAGTTTTATCGCTCTTCAAAAACAATCATATAGAAGAGGCTATTGCTATCCATTTGTTTAAGCTTAACCTTCATGTACACAAAACATTATGTTTTATTCCTCATTATTCTATGGTCTGAACCTTCCTTGTCACCCTTTTCTAATCTCTTGTTTCTTTAAATTATTATTCCTACTCCTCTACACTTATTTTCACAACTAATAATTAGCCATAATTATAACTTTTAACTATTCTTCTTTGTATTGTTTGTTTGAATCTCCCCATTGATGTGTTAGGACTGCAATTGATCAGTTTTTTATCATGTGCGGAATGCCTTGATATTACCTTAAGTCACAATCGCAGTCCTAAACATGTATGGAAAGATTCAAACAAACAATACAAATTGAATTAAAACTTGACCTCATTGCACAAGCTACTGGCTGTCAGGGCTCAGTAACTATATGGGTAACACGATAGCGTCTAAAGCGGGTTCGAGTTCCGAAGTGAACACTAACTCTGGGACACACATATATCTGACTGACATAATGCGTGTCCTGATATCCACTGCTAACCAACATCTAACTTTGTTTTTAACTATTCCGTTCTCAATAGCTATCAAATGGACCAATTCTCTTCATCTTGGTACTTCTCACTAGCTGATATTGCATAACTTTCTTAAGATATCCGGGTTTCATAAACAATTCATAACAAGACATTATTTCAAAACTTTTTAAATGTTCAACACCAATCTATTCTACTAAAGATTATCCATTTTAGTAAATACGGTTGATGATAAATTAGATTGTATAGTCCAAGTATATAAAATCGTCAAAATGAAAATATTCAATGAATACCTTATTAAATTTACATTCGTCTCATAAACTCTTATGAACTGTGCATGTACAATTTTAATGTTATTTGGTTATATTGTAAGTATTCATGTGTAATCAACTTTCATCTTTCGTTCGTACACCTTTGTAGTGAACAGAACACGGGTGGGAACAATTGAATTTATTTAACACAAAATTACAGGACTTGTTAATAAAATCTAACAATCATAAAGTAGTGCGCACCCACGAGCTCGCACCTCGCGGGATTCGGACCCAGGACTCAATGGCTTCGCTGGCGAGCACTTAGCCATTATAACACTGAGCCGGCATTCGACGGTGTTAATGTCGTGGATGCGCACTGCTGCGGAGTCCCATACTAAGACGAAATGGCCGTCCAGTGCTTCCAGGTTTTCCATGGTGGTCTAACTTCAACTGACTTATGATTTCTATCAGCGAAATTTCTAAAATCTCCTTAAATCCCTTCTGATAATCATAAAGTAAATACATAATTTGCGAAATGTCCATCGATTGCCTCAAAATGATTCAGACTTGATTGTTCTTGCATTTTCATGCAAATTACATCCCGTTTCCATTCTTTATTGTTCGATCCTCTTGTCTCTCTGCTGCCAGACCATCTGTCCACGATTAACATCATATACTACTTATGTCAATATAAGTAGTACATACCGCACCTTCACCATACCTATAGCTATAAGCGATTTAGTTTTTGTTGTTGTCTGCTTGTAAGTAAATGTATGAAATCTAATCTTTCAACAACATTTTATATCTGGTATTTAAATACCACCCTTACATAATGAAATTAGTTTAGGTGTTATATACGAAAAGAAACAGGATATATATATATATATATATATATATATATATATATATATATATATATATATATATATATATATATATATACCATCATCAGAATAATCGAGTTTAGGTACTCCACCACAAACTACTAATAAAAGTAATATCAACCATGATTATCCAGCGCTCGACTACAGACCACAATAATCATTTATCAAAACTTAAACATAGAGACTACATTCTGAGATGTTAAAGTAGGTATATATTTTAGAAGAATGATTTTGTTGAAGTAACATTCTATGACCTAAATGTTTCAATTATAAATCTTCATATTGAAATGGTCACTGGTATTAGTTTATCTTTAATGTAGTTTAGTTTGTTCATTTAAAGTGTTCAGATAAATGACATAAAAGTAGGTAAGTACCTGTGAGAAATGTTCACTTGAAATCAGATGATATTAAACAGATCAATAAATCAATAAGGTTTAAACCCGGTTGAACAATTTTACTTGTTTTTTTTTCTTTTTACAAGTTTTTTCGTGTATAAAAAAGATCATTAATAAGGTAATTTGATCAAGTACACTTATCATTTAACTCCGCCTGGAGTCACTCTGGGAGCTACTGCCGGTCCCAAGTCCGGATAAAGAAGGAGGGTTGATCATGTGGTTAGCAACCCCATCCCGTAGAAAACTAACTCGCTAGAAAAACACTTATCATTTAGTTTATGTTTAGCATATTTAATAATTCATGTTTATAAGCAAAATGATATACAATCCTTTTAGTAACATCAGTAACTTCTTTATGTTCCAAAGTATAGTATTAGTATGTGAGTAGTTAACAGTCTCAGATACAATATATTTTACACAAATTATGGGGATTAAGATAAACTCAAATATATATTTAGACTAATGTAACATATTATTCTGGAGATTGAAGTTAAAGATAAGTGCAAACCCACTAATTAGCCTATTGACCGTTATACCCCCATGAGAATAATGAATTATAAATTTTGGGATCTATTTATAGACTAATACGATAACTACATATATTCTTATTGTATGACTGTCAAGCAACTAAACTATTCATATTCGTGTTCCTGTCGTTATGAGGTTTATTTTGACCGATAGACTATTATTATACTATTTATCATTCTTGGATTCTGCTCAGTCTATTAATTACAGTCCTCTATATTCACAGTCACATTTGGCCAATTCTTGTACAGATGTTGTCTTCTATTTTATGGTGCGATGTGGTCTGTTTGACTGGTGTATATAAACTCAGTCTGTTTGAAATAAATGATTCATATCACAGAGGCTGAGATTTGTGTTCTAGACTCAACAGTCAGGAAGGCTAAACAAGAAGAGGGAACGATAAGGAATCTAGACTTGTTGTACGGGTTTACTTGTCATTGGTCCGATTGATAGGTCATTGTTCTCTAATCGGCGGTATCATTACGTTATATACTAATAGGGTACAAAGTCACAAGATATAATACTTTTTTTAAGTTAATGAAAAGTAATGATCATGATATTCAAGAGAGATTATAGAATGTAAGAATATCACATCGTATACATATTAAACGTTTTTAATTTATACATCCATGTAATTAAATATATGTATAAGCATATGTAAGTGATAGGCGTGTTTATAAATTTTCTAAATTTATTCGGTGAGACTACAACTTATGGACGACCTTTAAGCAACGCTAAACTAACCTCGAAACTGTCTACCTAATAACTAGGATCCAATGAGGGTTATAAATTAGTATGAGGAATTAGAATTAGAATTTACAGTCGATAGTTTGGGTTAGGAATTACAATTAGGTTTTTCATCACGAAATGACATCATTTATAAAGCCAAGATGTTATTTAACCAAATGGATGAGTGAATTTCGCGCCAAAATCCGAGACCTGTTATCTTAAACCTGATTGGTTCATCCAGAAATTATAGTCCCGCCGACTACATTTATTTATGAAGTAACAAAATTTAATTCACATTAGCCGAATATTTATGACCTTAAGTAGTGTGATACTGAGGACATTTAAAATTTGTTTACATGAATGATTTCATAAATAAATGTAGTCAATAACACGGAATCGTAAACCCCACCTAATTTCAAAATACTAACAATGTTACTATAATAGCTTGTCACCTTGTGCCTTATTAATATATAACGTAATGATACCGCCAATTAGAGAACAATGACCTATCAACCGGACCAATGATGCATAAAACAAGTACGAGCAGTCTATATTCCTTATCAGTCCCTCTTCCTGTCTAGCCTTCCTGCCTGTTGAGTCTAAAGCATAAATCTTAGCCTCTGTGATATGAATCATTTATTTCAAACAGACTGACTTTATATACACCAGTCAAACAGACCACATCGCATCATAAAATAGAAGACAACATCTGTACAAGAATTGGCCAAATGTGACTGTGAATGTGGGGGACTGTAATTAATAGACTGTGCACAACCCAAGAATGATAAATAGTATAATAATAGTCTATCGGTCAAAATAAAGCTTATAATAAGAGACACACGAGAATGTATAGTTTAGTAAGTTAAAAAATTTAACAATGAAAATATACCTATCACATTAGTCCATAAAACGTTCTCAAAAGTTATCATTCATTATTCTAATCGGGATACAACAAAAGGTTTACGAAGCATAGATAAGTCATAGTTTTTATCTTCATAGAAGGTGATTACATTTAAGAAACAATTTTTACAGCACTTAAAATGATTTAAAACGCAATAGATGTGGATGTGTCGGATAAACTTTACGTTCACAGTCAAAGCTAATTATTTAGTAAACTTAAGAGTAAGAGCTAAAGCGGACAATAGGCAATGCTGAACACTGAATAGATAACTAAGCAACGACAGAGTTACTTCATGATGTACAGTCATCTGACAGGAAAGTTGTGTTGACTCAAAGAAGTGAAATGCCCGCTTTCAAGATGTATGTAAGAAGAAAAGGTATCCATGTTTCTTTTGGTTTTTACGATTAAACATTCGTCAAAAATTCACAAATATATAATTCAAAATATTTGAAAACTTTAATTATAGATTTTCAGGACACTTTGAAGGACTTATAAGCAAGAGATATGTACATAGTGTTAAACATATTCGAGAATCAAGGTAAAAACATTCTCCTCAGCAGTTTTCAAAGTGTGTAAGACAATTCCATTACACATATAGAAATATACTAAAGACCAGTTTAGTTATATTAAGTGGTAAACATGGACTAATGTGATGCCGTACATCATCTTGCTGATTAGAACCAAAGGCTGGCTGTCGTAATAAGAGATGTTCTAGTGTAAAAGACAAGCTTAAATAATAATCCCAAAGCACGGGATACTCACTTAACTAAATTTTAACCTTAGTCTATGGTCTTCCTTGATAGATATTGTTTATGCGAGGGATGCAAACTAAGTTCTGAATAGCACAATTTTTTATCTTTATTTCTTACATACAAGGTACTCAAAATGACTGCTTTATTTGGTTGATTTCACAACTCAGCACAATCACATTGTTCCATTGTATTCATCTCAGAGATAACAGCTAAGGGAGATAGATTCAATATCAACTAAGTAATGAATTTCATAGACTGTGACAAACAATGCGTTAGATAAGGTAGATGTCCCGCTTTTTACAAATAAACAAACGGAAATTATCAGTGAAACACAATGTGTCAACAATGATTCCAAAAGCATACAAACAACTATAGACACGAGCTCTCATTGTAAAATATCACACTCTGGATTCAGAGAATTACAATAAAATCAAGGAAGTTCTGGAAACACAATATTCAGGTCAATCATTAATTAACAGATGTATGAAGAGACTCAATCTATCAATCACTAAAAAAGAGGCCAATCAATAGCACAATCAAATGCCAAGCAAATAAAACAGTTACATAGAATATATGTAAAAATGAAGAAAACGAAACCTACTAGGATAAAGAATCACAAACGAAGCAACCAGGACGAAATCACTAAACATTTAACTATGAATAATAAGCTTACTTCCATATAAAGTAAGCGCTGATGACGTGAAATAAAATGAAAAGGAAAGCTCTGAAGTTGAACAATCTATCTCAGTAACACCAGAAGCATTTATCTGAGCTCTAAATTCTCTTCAACACTACAAAAACCAAACTGGATGGCTACCCGTAAGATCGATCTGTTCTAATTCCAGCAGTGCTAACCTTGCATATTACAATAAAAAGCCATATGAATTCATATCAAACATTATGTTCATCTCAATGGATGTTGATTAGCAATTTTACCAAATGATTTAACCTATTTAACCGTTACACATAAAATGAAAATTGGTGGTTCTTTGCTTCCAATACACTCAAATTGGACCACGAGCAAAGTTCACAAGCAAATTTTTAAAAAACACTATTATTGTTAAGCAAGAATACATATACGAATAGGAAGCTTATTGTAAATGGAATCGAACATAGATGTGTTGATTTATATAGGGTCACGCATCCCTATGAAGTAAAAAAACTGGGTAACAATCTATCACTTCTTGATCATAAGTCCATCTTTCAAATCTTTGTACCATTTCTTTGCTTTGATGAAGAGAACTTTGAGCTCAGTACGAAGAACTACTACAGAAAAAGGAGCGAAATTTGAACAAGGAAATACTTGATGATTGGTACAGTCAACATGATTTCGCCAAATCAAGATAACACCATAAGCGAAATATGACAACTCATCGCTGAAACACTTACTTTAAGCATAAAGTCAAATAACTTTTTTCCACAACCTTTCCTCTGATGTGCTTCATATACGTAGAAATCCAAAACACATAAAGGCACGCATTCGACACAAACACCTCTTCTGTCATGCACAAAAAGACGCTTCCTACCTGTTTTTAAAAAACCTAAAATTCTAAACGAAAATTGATGGTAAATTTTACGCACTTTTTTGAAGGAATATCAGATAATAAAAAAATTGTCTGGTTCGAATCCCTGAACTTCGTATAGGACGTCACAGGTCCAGGTAACATTTGGGCCTTTCAAAATGAGTTAAGAATGTGTTTACTTTAGCCGAACGTTCACCTAGTAAATCCAAAAGACTGGCTAAACTTTTAAGTGAGTCAGCTTCTGTTACATTCCTTGAAAAATTTAATAATATGATTGTGTAAGCAATAAAATACAACTGATTTCGCGCATGTAATTCTCTGATTTTGTTTCCATAAATGACTGTGACTTCTTGTTTCAAAACCTTGTCTAGGCCAGATCCAAACTCCATTACGTCGTCATGATTTTGTATTGCTCTAAGCGTCTCATGCAAGGTCGTATGTATGAGTAGCTCACTTTAACAAAGCAATCAAAACGGATATTTGTTCTTGAACACCTGAATTATTAACATCGTGAGCCACGATGGTTTACTCTCCTACTGCCATATCATATGAGTACAAGATTCTGACACATTTCATGTGTTATGTAGGATGCAAATGTGACAGTATCGATGAAGGACATACTAAGTAAACTACAAAGATGGAGTGCAAAACCTGACAACTCTTAAAATGATTATAGATCATTTGTGGACTAGTTGATTTTTTCATTGCTGTGTTATGACACTTTAAATTGGTTGAAAACAATGGAGCTGTTCCAACATTGACAACATTGAAAACGCGTGATTTATAAATCCACTATCTAACATCTATATCACGAGCTCCAATAAAGCGGTTAGTTTCTTTTTTTCTCGCCCCTTGTATCCGCGATGCAGATCCGGGTATTTCATAATGCCTAATAAATGATAGTCTAGTTACTGGACAGAAGTAATTCTAATCATGGTATTAGTTATTTATTGATCTGCATATTTTGAAGTTGGGTGAGTGCGTTTTTCATAAAACAATGGGGTTTCCAGATACCAGCGGCCACCACGTTAATGGGCAAGATGTTAGTTAGTTTTAATTTGAAAATAACAGTGATAATTGAAGTACCGAGAGAAGACGACTATTTTCGAATTAGTTATTTGATTGTTGTTGAGTAGGAAGCCGGAATTGAAAGAATAAGAGAGAAAATGGAAATGATAATAAAAGGAATATAAAATGGTTTCTAATATGCAGTAAAGCAAACTTTGGTAAATTGCGAGGCATATATTGGACGTAGCTAGTCTACTCCTAACGCTACCAAATGAATGGACTATGGACACCTCTGCTGAGAGGCATTCTAAATGTGTGGAACGCTTAATAAGAAGTGAAAGAATATCTGGCTGTTTTCTCCTTGATTTTTAGTCTTTCGAGGATTGCCTTAAGTAACGTGATGGTGATGTTCTTGTAAAATGTTCGAGTGTCTATCAAAGAGAATACGAGAGGGACATTTGTCTCAATCAATACCATACAACAAAACTCCACACTAGTTTCAAATGCTACGAGCAAGGCTTATGGAGAACTCTGTGAAAATTTTATTTATTCCTAGTAAATGAGAGGGTTAATACAATATGACCGCAACCTTGTGAACAATGCTTAGATAATATAATATCACTGTAGGGATATTGTATGAAAAGTTTGGATTTTACTCGTGAGCTTACAAGCTGTATTATTCTGTTCATCAGCTTGTAGTGCTTCAAATGTTGTTTCGAAACATGATGCATCATGTACGGAGATCCAGATGACATTTGGCCTACGGAGAGAACTAACGCAGTAACTGGAAACGTTGAATTAAAGTCACTGAACAAAGTTTTCCCAATACACCAATGAATGGAGAGTTAAAATTTCTCGATCATTTCACTGCGTTTCATTCTACCTCAATGTGCATGATTACTATTCATCTTAAAATATTACATTTTCGATTAACTTAGAGGTCCACTAAACTGGCAACATTTTTAGTGTTAACATGATCAACCATCTCATCAAACAATTATTATAACTAGCGCCGTCGCTGCGATGCATATATATTTGAGTGATTTCAAGCTGCTGATGAATGGTAGCATAATTGACTTCAAACAAATATGCAACTAATATTCTGCAGTAATGAACTCTAACTTCTTTGCTGTTCGTAACGCTTTTCTTCATTTAAACGCTTGTCTGAATGAGTGGTCATACGGTAGAAGTCGGCATGTCTGCAGCAATTTTCACGCAATCTATTTTCCCATTGAGCATTGACTGCATACTGGCAATATTGCCACTGAAAACGATATCAAAACTGGTTTTGGAATCTATTTTGTAATCACCTTTCACGTAAATCTCTGATGCGGGAATTTTAATCATCCTTTACATCAGAGGTAGAAAATATAATAAGTTTGTTTTCAGCGTCATTTGAAGCTTGTCAACCACATGCAAACTTCGCAACCATTCAGGTAGACACAATTCGTAAGTTAGGTGAGGTGAAATTTTCAGAAGAATTCCCAGCGTATTGAGTGGTGATAACAACATTAATGAAGTTATGCAAGATTAGGTGTTGAAGATGCAGTGCCCCAAAGCTAAAAAACAATGAACTCCTTTATTTACACAAGCCCACCAGCCGAATTCGCTGATATGAGGTTATTTTGATCTACTTGGCGTTAACTGGTGTATGCCCTCTGCCCTCAGACCCGCAGCTTAAAGTGAAATGAGTATTTACTAGCACTAGACGCTACATTCAACCTAATATTCTTTCACAATAATAAAACAAAATTAAAAATGGTTGGTGAATAGTATTATGACAATGACCAAAATGTTTTTCTATGCATACCGAGATTTCAAACAATTGGCAAGAAGTGAGAAGTCGTAGGTAAGTGACTGCAGTATCAGGACTATATCCCCACTGGCAATAACTTTCCAACTCTATTAAAGCGGTATTGGTGTAATCGATCCCTTACTATTGGCAAAATAACAAGAACACACTCCAACAAATATGTGTTATATGTCCAGATTAGTTAACGTACAACCTTGTAATGGCGGGATACGGCAGTAAACCGTGACACACAGGGTATGTCGTTCACTGTCCCATTTTCGCTTATCCTGTAATGGTGTCATTCCAGTGTGCAGTGCAGCAACGAATTAAAAGTCTTCCCCATCCTCACTGCCAAATTAAGGAGTAAAACATCTTACAAGCAGTCAGAATCAAACTACATATAAATCTTGAGTATATATCCTTTTCTACGTTTTCTCCTAATTACAACTACATAAAATAATCTTAGTTACGCCTGAAAGCCGATAATTATTATCTCGAATTTTGCATTGAGGTTAACATAAATCCTCATTAGGTCATTTCTAATAAATTCAAGTCAATAATCCGCGAATAAACGTTGGACTTACTTTGAAGTAGTAATCATCATCTTACAAATAATCCTATAAAAAAGGCTCTCTATAAGCACACTTAATGCAACACTATCCATTAGGTAGGATGGAAAACGGGATTATCATACATATAAAGACGTAACATTGAAAAGCTATGAACAAGTATTCTACATACTTTATTTGTGTACTAAGTAAACAGTAATATTCGGACACAGTACACAATATTTGCACAGCAATTGCGGTCGAATCAACTGTTTAGAAGTCAAACAAAGAAGAATATTTGTGTGTAAGCACAAACGTCGTGCTCCTGAACTGGCTGTATAACGGTGAGGGCCCAATCTTTCGTTTGTCATTAACGGATTGTTTTTGTATATATCCTGTCAGAGCTGGAGATCTAGATGATGTCCGGAAACCAGGGTGATATTTACCCATCATCTCGTGGTGACTCAGTTTCGCACACTATCCTACACCCGGAGAAATTGTGAATGGATTTCACAGGAACATTCCTTTTTTGGCTAGGAATTGTGTGGAGCAGCGACTTTGCATCTTAGTTACATACTTTGCAACCTTTATGACGGCTCATGAATTTCAGTGTACAAAGTATGTGTCCGATCACTCCTAGAATACTGAGCTTCCTTTCCTATCAGTGTTTGCATAAACGAGAAGTTAAGGATGGAGTACGTACAGAGGCGATTTAGTTTTTCTCCTTAGGAGCAACTGTAACTTCATTTATAAATCCAGATGCAATAAGCATGAACTCGACTCATCACGGGAAGGAAAAATACAATCATTTTCTTCAAAATACTACATGGTGTACCCTTCAAATATGGAGAGCTGCATATGATATCCGAAACTCCTTATCATTAGTAAAAAGACATAACTCTAATTCTTCTCTCTATATGAATTACTTTACGAATAAATTTCCGACACTTAAATAATCTGCCACAATCTGTCCGTGATATAAAATCTAAAACTATACACCGATCTCTCACATTTGACGGTGCTATCCATATCAGGTTGATCATACCTTTTATCAGGCATGAATTCTATAAACATTTTCAGAATATATAAGTGCTTATTTATTCATTTATAGAGCATACAAACTACGGCTTACAGATGTCTAAGACATTCTAGAGAGTCACTGTAGGCCTCCCTCAGCTTTTCATATTCGTTGAAAACCACTTAGAAAATCCTAACCCCCATGTTCATGTCTTGGTTGGAGAGAAAAAGCTGTTGAGAACCACTGAATATAAAAGTTGAAAGGAGCTATAAGAAAATGCATAGAACTATCAAAAATACAAGGTGGAGAAATGTCAAACCACATTTATTTGCATACGTAACATAGGATCGGCTACGACGAAGCTTCGCCATCAACTTTACGGAATATGATTTAGGTCTTCCATTAACAATGCAATATAATGAGCAAACTCCACTCCAATGTATTCCTACTTACGAGACAAATTGCAAACCACCTCCTATCAGACAGTAAGCATCTAAATGCGACCTGACTTTTTGCCAAACCTCTCATTTGTTCCGTATTCGCTAACTTTACTTTGTTCCCACCTGTTAATGATCTTATCACATGCTTGAAAACATTTTTTTGGCAGATCGAGTTACATAAAAAGACTTTTCAATCCTGTCACTGGATAAGGTATATCTACATAAATACACTGAGAAAGTGTTAAGATTCTGATAAATCCAAAGCAGGATGAAAAAACGAATACCATAATCAACTATCAAGCAACAACCTAAATACTGATTTCCTACAGTAATGGACATCGGGTTATATATATATATATATATATATATATATATATATATATATATATATATATATATATATATTGATGACATTCTGGAAACAGCTCTCATAGATGTAAGTAATGGCTTAGTGTATCTGTTGCCTGGAGAAAGACTTCTCGACATTGAGTATGAGGATGATATTGTCTTATTGGCGATAATGCTCAAGGCATGCAATTCACACTTAGTCAGTTGGCAATCAGTGTCCGTAAGTACGGTATGTGCTTTGCACCTTCGAAATGTAAAGTACTTCTACAAGACTGGCAGGATTCCAATCCTGTACTTACCCTAGGTGGTGTGGTGAGCAGATAGACGTAGTCGAGAAGTTTGTTTATCTAGGTGGCTACACAAGTACTTGTGGGGGTGTGTGATGAGATCAATGCACGTATAGTAAAAGCCAGAGCGGCTTATGCCAATCTGGGCCACTTTTGGCGCCTTCGTGATGTTAGTCTGGCTGTAAAAGGTCGGATCCACAACGCGTCGGTGAGAGCAGTTTTGCTCTATGCTTGTGAAAACTGGCCTCTCCGAGTTGAGGACGTTAGACGACTCTCTGTGTTCGATCATCGCTGTCTCCGAAGGATTGCTGACATCCAGTGGCAACACCATGTTAGTAATGCAGAAGTTCGGCATCGTGTGTTCGGGCACAGAGACGATAATGCAATCGACGCCACCATCTTGAAACACCGACTTCGGTGGCTTGGACATGTTCTACCAATGTCGTCCCAGAGAATTCCACGTCGTGCATTATTTGTCGACTCTGGGACTGGTTGAAGAAAGCGGAGAGGTGGTCAGTGCATGATATGGTGTTGTGGTATGAAAGAAAGCTGCTAAGGACTGGCTTTTGTTGGTCCTTCTAAACTCCCTGGTTGGGGTCCGAGAGATAGTGCAACACAGTGGGTAGAGACGTTATCAGACATGGCTCAGAATAGAAGCCAGTGGAGATCCTGTCGTAACCTTCTTTACTTTCTTCATTAGAACAAGTGGTTACTTAACTGAGAGAATTCTTTCTGATTGTACCTTTCCGTTTCCCCCATTATTATTATTGTTATTTCACTACTATGCATTAATTTGTGTTCGTTATTGTTCTTTTCTTTTTCCTTATACGCACCTTACCTTCTTTTTCTCTTCCCATTCTCATTGTTTTGTGTTGCGTATATATATCTGGTGCCCCCTTGTACCAATATTTGTGTTCAAATAAATAAATAAATTAGAAAAAAAAATGTATTTAGAATCAAACAGGATTTTATCACAAAATGTCAATCATACCTTCATGAGTTAAAAGTTCAAATTGATCACCAATTTCAAATAATAAATTTTATAAAGAATAGCAAAAATAAATAACCAATAGTTATCTGTGTTTATGAATTCTTTTGAAGTATCCGCGTAGTTACCTAGAGTGTATGATTTAAAAAAAGGAATACACAAGATATGATACAATTTCAAATAAAGATAATCTATTTGAGGTGATGAACAATTGTTGTTGGTCATATTCATAAACAACACTTACTACAGGAGTCCCACAATAGGATGAAACGGCCGTCCAGTGCTTGAAGGTTTTCCATGGTGGCCTAGCCTCAACTGACTTATGATCTTAACCATTGAAATTACTATAATATCCACAAAACCCATCTGATATAATTTATGGACAAATCAATGGAATTTAAAATGATAAGTCATAAATTTAGGCATGAAACACAGCTATTCATTCTAACTGATACTAGTTCATAATGAAAACTCTAATTCATATTTCTTAATTCTAACCTCTGATTCTAGCTTTTAATCCTAATTCTTTAAACTAATTTATAACCTTTTGGTTGATATGATCATATGGTCGGTAAAAGATTAGCAAACTGCTCAACGGTTATGACATGATTGTTCAAAGTAAATGATTTGAGGAAATTCTAGTGTTGGATCATAGATTCAATAAAATAGTGCACAACGAGGTTATCTGTTATTCTTTACTTTAACAGAGGTATATCAATCAGTTGGTTTGTATAATTAAGTGAACTAAAGTAAGGCAACAGTTTGTTACAAATCATGCATTAGTATCCAAAACCGGATATAATACTGAATTCAGGAGTACATGAGTCAAAAATTGAAGACTAGTTATGCCAAAATATTGCACCAACCGATGAAATAATAGATATGTATCAAAATGTGTACATGTAGGAGTAGAAACAAAGGAATGTAACACTGTCTGCCAGGATTAAGTAATATATTATATGGCGAGTAGTTACTTAACAGATTCCAGTGCGAATAATATACAACACCTCAATCGCCTGTGACAGATAACCACATCTTGAGAAGTTTTGTGGCCCAGGATCTGATTCTAGTTAGATCGGACAAATGATCTTTATTGAATGATTCCTGTCTAAATATATATATCCTGAATATACTCGTGTATAATTATCGGCTTAGTGTATAACGAAATTAAATAAGTCTAATACGAGAATGGATTCCGAATATGTATATTTTGTGCAATCGTTGATCCAGACAAACGATCGGAGAAGCAAAGCGAAATGACGTGCTGTAGAGAAGGCGTGTGAACTAAATCGATTTAATCAAACGTGAATAATTATTTGTAGTCACACAAAAATAAAATACAGATATGTGGTGAATAGGATAAGAAGTGTGAACATATATACGCTCATATAAAAACAGTCAGGGTTGATAAGTAAATAACTAACAAGATCAAAACGTGACTCAGGAAGAATGGATAAATTGGCCTGTCTAGAAGCTAGAATAAGTTATGTGGGCTTAACATAGCAACCGGCATTGCACTATAAACATGTAATGATCACCTGTATTCTACTCACTTTATGTGTAATACAATTAAGTTTAGTATTTATGTAATTTTTTATAGATGATTGTATATTCATTCTTAGTTTTTCGTAATGAACGTCTTAGTTTGGAACATTAGCAACAGATACTAATTAAAACTAAAGTATCCGAGCTTTCTTACAGTTATCTCTAAGTGAAATAAACTCTTAAGTTTTACTTTCGGTGTTCAACACACATACGTGATGGTGAGTAAAACCATAAGAATAGGGAGTGGTATTAAATAATACTTACAGTTTTGACTTCTGTATAATTTCGTAAACCATATTCACCTAGTTCTCGACCAACTCCAGAAAACTTATAACCTCCAAAAGGTGCGGCAGCATCGAATACATCATAACAATTGATCCTGTACAAAGAAATATACAACAGATTCATAAATTGAACACAATTGATGATTACAGATGCTAATCAGCATCATGTGTTAAATTCGCGTATCGGAATTCTGGTTGTGGTTTTTTCTGTCCTGTATTTACTATTCCGTTTATGATCTAGCGCCCTAGACTTGATCAATTATACGTTATGACCTACATAGTTAACCTTGAGCTAGCCCGAGCAGCACACTTAATAGTCAGGTATCCCCAAGCTTTTATCTGTACCGTGTCTTGAATCCGAAGAAAAGTTAGGATCTAGTCTCTACTAATTATAAAGTGGAAATATTAATGATGATCCCATGTCTAATAGTCTCAGAAGTTATACTTCCACATTACTCATTTTACTATATGAAGAAACTATTTAGGTGGAGTTTTATTCTCTGAGCCAGAACTCACCATCATTCTGAGCTATGAGAACGAGAACAGAGAGTGATTAGTGTGGAAAAGAAGAATCAGTCAAGTCTGACACAGCTGATTAACATTTTGTAAGTATTTACTGTATGGTCCTCAGATTTTACTAAGATATTCTGTAATTTTTTATCCAAATACATTCGATTGTCCCCATTTGTGTTCTCGTTCACTACACTGGTAGCCAGAAAAATGATGCAATCACCCTAGTTATTTTAGATTTTCTTTATTTTGAAGTAAATACCTATACACATTATTGATAAATTTACCATTACAAGTACACTAGAATGCAGTACACCCAAAAAGAATGTTACATAACCTGTAGAAAAGTAACATTCTTCCATCTATTATTCAAGCAGTTTATTTATTTATTTAAACACATAAAAATTGGTACAAGAAGGCACCAAATAGATATGTGCCACACAGATCATTCGATTTATGTGAGGGATGGGATACTGCCTGGGTGCCCAGACCGAAGCAGGTGGTTTTCTTAGGAGGTTACACCGCGAGCCTTGAACCTAAAGGTCTAACCCACAAGGCAGTGAAGCATCGTAATGAGATGCAGTCCCATGGTAGCCGGCGGCCAACGATTGGTTCTTTCGAAATTTGTTCCCGCAGGATACTGGAGCCCATGTGCAACATTGGTTTGGAATCCGATTAAAGCGCCGGACATTCACTTTTCGTCCTCTCAATTTCGTAAACAACACCCCCGCTACGAGAAGGCAGTGAGTAGGACTTCCCTGACATAGGCTGTATATGCGTGGCCGCGTGAGAGCATTTCGAGAGGGAAGGAGGGCCCACCTCACCCCCGGTCATACTAGGGCATTTGGGGTATTAAGGCAGTACTTACGTTTCATCTGTGATATGTTAGTGCTTAAAAGTAATTCAAGTAAGAAAACTAATATAGTACCGTTATTGATCTATACTTGTTTGTATAATGATGATCAACTTTTGTATAACTCTTGTTTACTACGCCTAAATCATCAGATAATAATTAAACAATCTCACTATACAATAATCTGACAATGATAAACATTCAAGTAATGACAGTAAATAAATTCAAACTTGTATATGGTTTACCATAATGTTTGACATTTTGGTGTGGAAATGACAAGAATTAGAATAACGATAGAAGTCATTACACAATGAATCTCATAAAGTGTAACGACTGATCATTTTATGTTTAAACATATAAATATTGGTGCAAGGAGGCACCAAATAGGTATGCGCCACATAAATCATTCGATTTATGTAAGGGCTGGGATACTGCCAGGATGCTCATTTTATTGTATATTCATATAAAATAGGAGTAGAATGATGTTTAAATTAGAGCTTGACAATGATTACAATCAAACTACCTCTACACTGACTGATTTGAATCAATCTGTAGAAAATTTTAGGAGTAAATACATCGAAATTAGCACTGATAGAAAAATAACCTTAGAGTTCGAGATGTGAATATTCATTTATTAGTGTTGCAGAAATTATTAATGAGTTGTTCCAGTAAAAATTAATTTCTTTACAGATGGACAATGTGCAAAGCTTACTAGTGTAGGGGATGGTTGGGGGAAAGTTAGGGGGTGGCAAACCAACACGTGGCATCAGTGCTCGAAGTCACTAAGTTCCAGTTCGAGCCGTGTTGGTAGATTCAGACTACTTGGTTGGGGTCCACGTGACTATTGTAACAAATGGTTGGAGACTGTATGTGACATGGCTCAGAATCGATCACAATGACATCGGTGTATACACTCTTTGTCTTCCCTTAAACTAAGAGATTAAAATCGTTTCATATCTTTCTTTCTACGGACTAATTCTTTTTTCCTGTACTATATCCTTATATGCAATCTTTCTTTTATATATTACCACCTCTGAATTAACTTCTTTTATGAATCCGGTGTTCATCTTGCTGTGTTAATGAGGTATGAAGACTTGGACCGATGCACATACGTGCCTGGTCCTACGCTGTAGCGGACTGACTAACTGGACAATATACACAAAGTGATTCCTAGATTATAACTAATACTATGCTATATATAGCCCTAGGTGTTAGTCTGAATTAATCAACGAAATCCGAATTCATATCTTTCAATCAACTCTACTTGAAATCATCCGACATTGAAATACAATGAATGTATCGTTATAAATAATATACATTAGTGTAAAAGGTAATGAGTTTCAACGGTGAGACTATAAATATATGGACGCACCGATGATATTTAAAATAGTTAGTCCTAGATTTTGATCTGGAAACTACTCATCTACATGGCTAAACAGAATTTCACCATTCTAACTGATACTGGTTCATAATGAAAACTCTAACTCATATTCCTAACCTTAACCTTTGATTCTTAGCTTTTAATCCTAGTAAGTAGGTGAATTTTCTCAAGGTTAATACAGTGTCCCTTAAACATTGTCCAAAATTTTTAGTTTTATCATTTCAATTATTATTAAAAACTTAGAATTAACATTACCAAACAGTGCCAGCCTGTAAATGTTGCATAACATGCATAGCTTTTTCTAAATTATTAGTGAATATACCAGCTGCAAGACCATATTGTGTATGATTTGCTCTATGTATCAATTCATCTAATGATCGAAATTTCATAATTTGCATTACAGGTCCAAATATCTACAACAACAGAAAAGAAAAAGGACAGAAATCAATATCATTAGCTACTGTTATACATGAATAGAATTTGTATTGTAGTGTATGCTATTGATATAGACAGATATAAGTAGTATGTATCATCAATCGAAAGTGAAATACATGGACGCAGAAGGTTAAGAAGATCGAAGAGAAAAGAATGAGAACGAGGAGTGATTGGTGTGAAAAGAAGAATCGGTCAAGTTTGACACAGCTGATTGACATTTTGCAAGTATTTACTGTATGGTCCTCAGATTTTACTAAGATATTCCATCATTTTGTATTCAAATACATTCGATTGTACCCACTTGTGTTCTTGTTCACTACAGTATTAATATTAATTCTTAGGGTTGCCCCAGTAACAATTATTATTATTGTGTTATTTTCACCGCTGTTATTATCATAAATTTTGTCTAGCTATTATTAGTTACCTTGTACTGAACACAAGGTAATGTTGATTCATGTAGTTTTTCAGAATAGTAAGGGTCTCTCTTCCGAAATTCCAGTCTTCTGTTTTATTTAATTAATTCAACAAAAGAAAAAGTAAAAGCATCTCGAACTTAACAATATATCGTTCGCAGGATGATTTTAAAAACAGAATGTTTATAGAAAGACAAAGGATGACTGACTCTAAGCCATGTCACCCAAAATCTCTTAACCGTTGTTAACCACGAACCCTAGTAGTCTGCACCCAACAACATGGCTTAATCCAAATGTCAATAAATTCATGAACTTACATCACGTCTTGGTTTGGAAGCCGCTAGCTTTCCTCCAACCTATTTTCACACCAATGAACACAGCGCATTGAGGTAGGTGGTGGTTAGGTATACGTCAAACATGTCCCAACTACTACAGTCGATGAGAATTCACAACCTTGTCAACCGATTTGCTATATTTACCCAGTACCTTGATTTCAACCTCAGCATTGCTAACTCGACGTTTCAACAAATGCGATAAGTGTTTTGGAGGTAATTATGTTCAAACACTAGAAACCTATGAATATCCTCTATTCTAAAAGCTACATTCCACAACCACAAATTAAAACAAATTGAACTGCTGTTCAGTATGCTCATTCTTTAGTTGGTAGATAAACTTATCTATTCGGTCATATTGTATCAATAATTTTAATGTTTCTCTGTGTTGAAAATTAACTGGTGTTGCTGGATCCATATTTCGAGAACAACTCAACAATATCCACCATGTATAGCACATACAAGTTGAAACAAACTATAAATAATAGAATAACTTACTTCCTCACGAGCAATGCGCATTTCATCTTGAACATCAGCAAAAACTGTAGGATGAATGAAATAACCATCTGATTCAAACCGTTTGCCACCGGCACATAATTTAGCACCTTCCTTTATACCAGATTCAATGTATGACATAACTGTTTGATATTGGTTTTCATCAACTTGTGGACCCTGAATAACAAATAACCGCATTTTAATATGAAACCAAAATGATATAACACTAACTTTAAAATATATTCACCAACTGTTAGAGATTTGAGCATTGACCAAAGGTTTAAAACCATAAGCAAGTGAATTCACTTGGTATTGTTTAGCATGTATCTTCCCATAGACGTTTAAGATTGCAATTGATCAGTCTGTTATTGACATATGTGCATACTGTGAGTATGCCCCGATATTGCCTTAATTCACAAGCCCTTTTAAGCAAAGATGGATAGTGGTTAGCAGTGGAAAACGCGATGGCGTTTGAAGTGAATGGTACTGGGTTCGAGTCTCAGAGTGAACATCAACTCTGAGATGCAGGTACTTCCAGCTGATGAATTCCGAATAGGACGAAACGCGTGTCCTGGATTCCACGGCTAGCCACAATCCATCTTTGCCAATAAGCAAGTGGTTGAGAAAAAACAAATGGAAGGGTATAGCCAAACACCTTAACGGTTGTTACAAAGATCATGTGAATCTTCAAGGTAACCAATTCTTCGTTGAGAATTTAGTATAAACGTCACTTCATAAGTTTATAGGTAACATATTTGATTTTTACACTAGATGGCATGAGATTGAACCCACCAAACAAATACCACTTTAATTATAGTCAACAAACGGGGTGTGGATCTATTATTTGTCACCATCTACCATGAGACTGCATCTCCTGAAGTTGCTTCAATGTCTTGTGGATTAGATCTCTAGGTCAAAGGGATGGGGAGTGGCCCTCTAAGAAAGCCATCTGTTTTGATTAAGGCGACTGAACAGTATCCCGTCCTTCACAAAAATCCGGTGTGACGCATATATATCTTGGTCTCCCCCCCCCTCTTTACCAATGTTAATGTGTTTAAATAAATGAATTAATTAATAATCATATTTTAAAAAATATCCGGTTCTTTTAGCGTAACCAAAAACCATATACAGATCAAATGAATATTTATATAATGAACATTACATAATCATGCATTTCAATTACAATTTCACTAGGAAATGTTTAAATAGCCTTAAATGTTACTCACTTGTGTTGTGTTTAAATCAAATGGATTACCAACTACACGCTTTTTAGCTTCTTCACTACTATATTCAACAAATTTATCATAAACTGATTCTTCGACAAATATACGTGAACTTGCACAACAACACTGGCCTTGATTGAAAAATAAACCAAAATGTGACGTAGCTATGGCTCGATCAACTAAAATTTAAAAAAGAATAGTAATGTAAAATGAATAAAGTAGGTTATGATAAAGTGAAATAATCTTTGAAAATAAAATAGACTTTTATTTAGAATAGATAGGTAGTGGCTAACAATGGAATCCAGGAACTTATTAGTTGCATTCACCGGCTAAATCCCAGTGTTGACGTCCAACTATTCGGACTCGAATCTTGCATCTTAATTGAAACGTTAAATACATTCTTCATTGAGGTATTGAATCTAGAATAGCCACTAATCTATCCAGTGAGTATGTCGTATACATCATTAGCAGCTCGTGTTTGAGTTTTTTCAGAGTGAACACCAACAATGAGATGTGGATATATTCAGACAACGAGTACCAAACAAGATGAGACCAGTATCCTGGATTCCGTTGTTACTCACAACCAATTTATTCTCAATAAATTTCAATATAATAGTTATGTTGCAGTAATCTGCATGGGATGTGCATATCTAAACAAAGACTGGTCAAAATTCAATCAAGATATAATCCAAATCTACACTAAAAAATGATTTAAAGACATGGGATAATTCAATCCCTTACTAGTAATGATATGAACTTTTGTTTGATGGAAACAGTCGTACAATTATCAATTATTCATCTATATACTATAGTAATCACAGACTGACCATTTTTAGGTTCTACTAATCGATAAATTTTTATCTGCCTGAAATTACAGGATTGATATGTATTGAGAATTGGTCGTTGCTCCTGAGTTTATCGCTTTGACTGACTTTTTTTTCTTAAATTTAAGCTACTTGTTATTTGTCGTACAACCATTGATTGTTTACATGTATATAAACGTCCCGAGAACTCAAAACTTCACACAATTGTTGATGCGTTATTCCAATGAATCTGATACCTGCATTTTGTATTGAACTCTTCCTGACAATACAGAGGAATTACCCACATAATTTAAAAAGTTTTGGATATGCCTTCCTTTTCTATAATACAATTTACTATAGTGATATATAAACCTGACGTCTATCAAAATTGAGATCGAGTTCATCAATTTCACCTTTTGGACACATTTTTGTTTAATTAATGACAGAAGTTTTTGTCCTATGAAGGCAAAAATAGAGCACATGTATGTGTAATATTGACAAGCTTCGAATTACGATGAAAAACCGGTTCAATACTTTTCAGTTTTTTTTTATTTGGACCGATAATGAGGAATCGTCTTTACTAGAAAATGATAGTACAATGAGCACGGATACAACTGTACGAATTAAATTATTTCAATTCAGTGGGAAAGACGATCTACAATTACAAAGGTTAAAAAAAACTGATTTACAATACAACTTACAATCACCATCACTGAAAATAATTAATGGACTCTTTCCGCCAAGTTCTAAAGTAATTCGTTTCACACCATGTTTATAAGCATTCTGACCAATCAATTGTCCTACAGATGTTGAACCAGTAAACGCAATTTTATCAACATCAGGATGAACGACTAAGGCGTTACCAGCAGTTTCACCAAATCTGATCGAAATTATTGAGAAATAAACAGGTAAAAAGTGGATAGTAAAATGATAGAAATACGCTTGAACACATTAACATTGGTAAAAAGGGGAATCAAGATATATATATATATATATATATATATATATATATATATATATATATATATATATATATATATATATATATATATATATATATATATATATATATATATATATATATATGCGTCACATAGGATTCGTATGAGGGGTGGGATACTGTTCAGTCGCCCTAATCAAAACAGATTCCTTTTTTAGAGGGCCACTCCCCACCCTTTTGACCTAGAGATCTAATCCACAAGACATTGAAGTAACTTCACGAGATGCGGTCTCATGGTAGATGGTGATAAATAATAGATTCATATGCCGTTTGTTCCCTTAGGAACCATGAGCTCATTTGTACCATTGGTTTGGGATCAAGGTTTTCCAACTTCCCTTATGTGGATATTTCGTACACACCAATGCAGTTTAAGCCTCCATTGGAGATTTCGTTTTCATCTTCCGAATTTCGTAAACAACACGCCCGATGTGAGCAGTCGGTGGCTATAAACATATGAATGTATTGGAGTATTTTGAGAGGGGGAGCAGACTCTCTCCACTCGGGGGCGTACCAGGACATTTGGGCAAAATTAATCATTCCATGTGTTTTTTGGTTGTTTAGTATACTTATTCTCTTGAGCAGTAATAAAATGATATAAGAAAAATGTTTGGTTGTCAAGTGTATAATTATCATGTGATTAGTTATTTTCAACTAACACCCATAAGTCATCATAAGTCACCCGCGGTTTGTCTACCTGATTAATCTACTCGAAGACAAGCTCAATTCAAATATACTTTATCCAGTAGGATTTGGTGTTGTGACTTATTTATTACTACACCGGAGGCAAACGCATTCATTCAGGTGTTTAAGTCAATTATTTGTATGAAGTCGAGCTAGGACAAAAGTTGGTAACAAGGATCGAACAAAACGATGCCAAGCAAGCTACAGAAATTATTCTCTCGAATCCTATTCATCAACTACTTATTGTACAAATGACATTACTTGAATAAATCTATCTACGAGTGACTGAATTGTTGAAACTACCATCATCATAAACATCGTTGATGGGTACTCTATTTAGTGATTGAATTATATATTAAATAAACCCTGGTCAAAAGTCCGCCCACTTCAGTTTGAGTAGTCGGGCATTATCACTAACCTTTACATAAACTGTAGTTTAAAACAGGATAGATAAACCTAAACTCTGTAAACGAGTTATACTCTTGATAGAAAATAGCATTAGTTAGATAATAGAAAAACCTGTAAACTTGTGAATATCACGTACGTGAAAGAAATTAGGTAAAACCTCAGAAAACCAGTACAATCCATGTAACAGTGATAAGAAAATGAGTGATTCAACTTAGAAACTTAAAATAGTTTCTACAACAACCAGATTTTAGGCATGTAGAATCCGCATAAACATACAATTTATAAGAAAAGGAATCAATATCAATTAAAGGTGAATGTAAGGTCGAATTGCAAAACATTTTTCTTATACTATTTTATAAACTTGCAACACGTTTTCATTATGATTTGTGTTCAGCTAAAATTATTCAATCCACAAATTCTAATCATTGTAATCAGTATATTAACTTGATGAAGCCAAATGCAATACTATTCTACTGGGGTCTAGATCAACATAGCTTCTATAAGGAAACTTGATTTATTAATCTAGTTAGTAGATTAGGGAAGAAGAGAATATAATTAGTCTTGTCCCATCTATAGAAATTCGAGTTACATAACAGTAGCTTAGCGCACGAACACTTCACGAATGTTCAGGAAACTCAAATATAAAAGTGAAAACATCAATGAGGTGATCGTGCAACGTAAAATTACGTTAGTTATAATAGTTCAATTCTCAGATACAGAGTCTTTGATGTCCAACGTGACTGAGTCTCAGACTAGGATGAGACAGACATCCAGTGCTTTTACGCTTTCAATGATAGTCTAGCTATAATCGCTTCACGTTTTAAACTGTAAAAATAATCATTATTATATAACTAAATAAACTCGAATGTAATTTGGATCTTCTATGTTCCTTATCAATACAACTTTCTTAAAAGACTTCCGTTATAGAGTAGTCGTGGTTAAAAGGTTAAGAAGCTGTCATATCCTGAATTGAAGTGTCATTAGAGTAATAGTTGTTAGCGAAAATCATATCACACTATGAAAATGTATTTGCCAGTAGTATCGATTTTCAACATTGTCCGTTCAAAATTATTATTTCTCGATATACTGGTAGTCTTGGTCATCTCAACCAACTTAACTTACACAAATAAAATTAGCAACTGATGAATCGAACCCACATCTAACAAGGTAACTAATTGAAATAATATATACGCATAAGCACACAATCGATCAGTCTTCGTGGCTGCTTTACTTATCTTTCTGATGATTACATACACCGTTAGAATGCTTTCAAGGAGCCGATAACTGATTGTATGTAACTTGATTCTCTTTACCTTCAATTTATTTATTTCAACACATAGATATTTGTACAAAGAGGCACCAAATACATATGCGCCACACAAATCTCATTCGATATGTGTGAGGGCATTGATACTGCCCGGGTTCCCAAACCGAAACAGGTGGTTTTCTTAGGGGGCCACACCCGGAGCCTTCGACCTGAGGGTCTGATCCACAAGGCAGTGGAGCATCGTAAGGAGATGCAGTCCCATGGAAGCCGGTGACCAACAATTGGTTCATACGCCATTTGTTCCCGCAAGATACTGGAGCCCATGTGCACCCTCAATTACAAATTATTATACACACAATTCGAAGTGGACATGATGGTAAACACTTTGAAGATAGTTCTTATCAGATAATGATGTTACACGGATCGAACTACTGGACGAAAATATACATGTAAACCAATTTTACTGAAGAAAAATTATCTTTACAAAGAATGAAATTCCAGTTACACTGTACTGAATAATGCCAACTACAGTGAAATGTAGATTCAAAGTTTTCTGATTCCCAAAAATAAACTGCACATTTTTACAATGATTACATCACACTAAAAAATCCTAATTCAAGTTCATACGAAGTTTATACATTCTTTATAGTACCTAAACCAATTACTCACTGAGTTTTGAGATGACCTTTAAATAAAACCTATCAATCTTTGGAAAATTGAATTCGCAGCTCGTTTGAATGCTTTTGATAATGTTATGTTGTTTGAGTTAGATAGTTTGATTTCAAGGCGTTCATTGTCGCTCTGAATAATATCGTCAACGTCGATCTCATAAAGGAGTGAACGACTATTCTACAAGTGTCCAATTCGTTTGCTTTGATAACCTTGTTTGTGACTAGATATCCCCATAAGTTTTGTTGCCTTCAACTATTCTTGAGTATATATTAACCAAATAAGTTGAAATTCAATCTAAAAAACAATTAACATGAATGCACGAACAAGTAAAAACAACAAAATCTACGGAGATATCCAATCACAATTAAAGTCATCGGAACGAACTAATTCAACACCTTTAGAATAGTTGGCAATCTTACTTATATGTGAATCATGCGCTGATGTTGTTCAGAAAGACAATAAAAACTTTGCAATTAAACAACTTGGCTCAGAGAACACAACACCGTTAAAGTCTACCAACCTATTTACAGAAACATCCTTAATTAGAAAAAAAAAGCATTGAAAAAATTGGATGAGTCGATTTAAAAATTTCTTTACCCTGGAACAATGTTCACTACACCAGGTGGGAATCCGGCTTCTTTGATTAATTCAGCTACCCAATTCGCAGACAACGGGGTTTGTTCTGCTGTCTTCATTACCACTGTATTTCCCATTGCTAATGCTGGACCAAGCTTCCATGCCTGCATAAGAAGTGGAAAATTCCACGGTATAATTTGTCCACAAACACCAACTGGTTCATGAAGAGTGAAACACATATAGTTTCCATTGACAGGTATAGTTTTCCCATGATATTTGTCTGCCCAACCAGCATAATACCTATAAAAAAATGTTCATTATTAAGTTGTAAAAACAATGAAGTTTGATATAACCAACTGTACAAAGCCTTAAAAAGTTCATTTTTACCCCGTCCATATGCCATTTGGTGTGTGCGATTATTTTTATCTTCTCAAGTCATAATACTTCGATAAAACATGTAAACAAAACCGATATCTACAAGCACAAGATTGACTAGAGTAGAGATCATGCTACTACAATTATGATAAAATATCGCATCTGGTCTTAACATAAAAGAATCTATTATAGCAACAATTTCTGGTTAGATTTAAAACTGAATACTAGAACCTTCTTGAATATAAGTGAATAAAATATGAACTGTGAGAATAAGAATTACTCAGGAATGGATGCGTTTGAAGACATACTTGGAAGATGATCGATTTGCTGAGCGATACTTTCGTCGCTGTGAGTACCCTTCGTCCTGCAGATAGGGTAATTCAGACTTCTTGTGGACAGGTCTTCATTTTCGCCTTGTGGGTGATGGCACGGGGTGCAAGGTTAGCATTTCGAACACAAAACCTCTCAGCATTCAATATAGGAATTGTAATCCCTGTGCGTTTTTTGACGAGTTAGTTTTCTACGGGATGGGGACGCTAACCCCACGCCCAACCCTCCTCCATTACCCGGACTTGGGTCCGGCAGTAGCTCTAGAAGAGCTACAAATGTAGTTATAGCCAACAAGAAGAAATACGTGGAAGAACTAGCGAAGACGGCAGAAAAAGCTGCTAGAAAAGGAAATATGAAACAGTTTCACGATACAACGAAGAAACTATCAGGGGAATACAGTAAACCAGAGAGACCGGTCGAAGACAAAGAAGGCAGGCAAACCACTGAAATTCAACAACAGCGGAACAGGTGGGTGGAATACTTCGAGGAACTCCTGAATAGGCCGGTTCCAGTGAATCCACCTGACATCGAAGCGGCAAACATAGATCTTCCCATAAACGTCAACCCACCAACGAAGGAAGAAATCAGAATGGCCGTCAGACAGATCAAGAACGGGAAAGCAGCAGAACCCGACAACATACCAGCTGAAGCACTGAAGTCAGACATCGAAGTAACTACAAACATGCTTTACCTTCTATTCAACAAGATTTGGGAGGAGGATCAAGTGCCGATGGACTGAAAAGAAGGTCACCTCGTCAAGATTCCAAAGAAAGGAGATCTGTGAAAATGTGGAAACCACAGAGGCATTATACTACTGTCAATATCAGGGGAAGTCTTCAACAGAGTGTTGCTGAACCGGATGAAAGATGCAACGGACGCCCAACTTCGAGATCAACAAGCTGGATTCCGTAAAGATCGATCGTGCACAGACCGAATTGCAACACTACGGATCATCGTCGACCAACCAATTGAGTTGAACTCATCACTATACATCAACTTCATTGATTATGAAAAAGCATTCGACAGTGTAGATAGGAGGACATTATGGAGACTTCTTCGACACTACGGAGTTCCTGAGAAGATTGTTAATATTATCCGGAACTCGTACGACGGACTACAATGAAAAGTCGTGCATAGAAGACAGCTGACAGATGCATTCCAAGTAAGGACCACAGTCAGACAAGGCTGTTTACTCTCTCCCTTCCTTTTTCTTCTGGTGGTCGACTGGATTGTGAAGACCTAGACATCTGAGGGAAAACACAGTATACAATGGAACATCTCAGAACCAATTAGACGATGTGGACTTCGCAGATGACCTAGCTCTCCTGTCCCATACACACGAACAAATGCCGATAAAGACGGCCAGTGCAGCAGCAGTCTCTGCATCAGTATACAGAAGGGGAAAACCAAGTTCCTCAAGTACAACTGAGAGAACAGCAATGCAATCGCTCTTGATGGCGAAACTCTGGAAGATGTAGAATCCTTCACATACCCGATGAACAAGGAGGCTCAGATGCAGACGTAAAGGCAAGGATTTGCAAAGCATGGGTCACATTCCTACAATTGAAGAACATATGAAACTCGAGACAACTTTCAACCAGTATCAAAGTCAGAATCTTCAATACCAACTTTAAGACAGTTATACTATATGGAGCTGAAACTTGGAGAACTACAACAACCATCATCGAGAAGGTACAAGTATTTATTAATGATTGTCTACGCAGGATACTCAACATGCGTTGGCCGGATACCATCAGCAACAGCCAACTGTGGGAGAGAATAAATCAGCTTCCAGCTGAAAAATAAATTAGGAAAAGACGATGGAAGTATTTAAGACATACATTACGCAAATCATCAAACTGTATCACGAGACAAGCCCTAACTTGGAATGGTGAAGGGAAGCAGAAAAGAGGAAGGCTTAAGAACATATAACGTCGGATAATAGAAGCAGATATGAAAAGGATAAATAAGAACTGGAAGGAGCTGGAAAGGATTGCTCAAGACAGGGTTGGATGGAGAAGGCTGGTGAGCGGCCTATGCTCCTTCACGAGGAGTAACAGGCGTAAGTAAGTAATCCCTGGGCAACATAAGGAAGTGGACGAATGCTTGAGCTTCAATGTTCTGACATTTACTTAGGTGTTTGCATCCAACTCTTAGACAATCAACTTATATTGCTACTGTACATTATCTAATCTAGCTAGCTCTTTCGAGACATGTGTAACATGGCTTGCTTGACAGAACGTCCCTAGCTAGGCTGTGTCCAGTAAAACTAGTGAGGTCATCAATAAAATCTAAGACATAGAGAAATAGTTATTTGTCGTCACAACTGAGTAGCGAAAACAGTTTTGTTGATGTCCTTTTATCATTCTGATTATGTGAAACAGCACCGACTGTCAATGTTGAAAGGATTTTTCATCAATTCTCGCGCAAAGATGTAGTGGAAGATTCCCCTGTTATTAGGAAGAAGGTTGACATGAGAAAGAAAGCCACGGGATATTGTTTTATAATTCACCCATTTGGAGTAGTATTTTTTCCTTTCTGTGCAGACTTAGCTCCTAGGAAGAATGTTGAGACGTTTGGTGAAGAGTTATTGAACGATATGAAGAAAATTTTAGATAAAAGTTTCCAAGTCCATGACTATTTAGTTTCTCACAACGCAACTAAGTCGACAGTGTACCGTGACTCAGATCATTAAAGGAATGCTTTGGAGTTAACAAATGAATAACAAGTAGCTTATAAGCCCTTTAATGAATCCTATCAAGAGTATGAACATATCCTTGAAGGATAATTACCTGTAAAATGATTCCATCGGAACGCATCTTAGATTTGTTCTGAGGTGGAATGGATGAATATGTTACACTTACGGTCGACATAACAAAAAGGACCATACGTAGGGGAGGTGTATCATCAATACTGTCGTTTATGACTGTTTATACTGACGACAATCTAGTTGGCCGACGCGTGTGCAAGTGATGGCTAGGATATAACAAAGTAACTTCAAGGAAAGAGACAACTAGTTGACTTGAGTCGGTGGATGACTTCACAATGTTGGGAGCAATAGGTTTCCACGGTGTATGTTGGTTCTGCACATGTACTATTCACTTGTGAAACCCCAGTTATCCACTGACGCCTCAGATGACGATTACTTTACTGTTGTAGTTTAAGGATGATTAATGCAAGAGTCAGATCCTCGAAGAAGCCAACCAAACAAAGTTTGGATGTTGCGGTAGTAGTTTTAACCATTTCTGCAGATGTTTACTTTCAATTCGAGCTAGGAATGAGGATTACAGAGGTGCTTTTCTTAAGTAATTTTATAATTGTCTTAAGTCTCATCAGAAGTGGTAACAGTCAATAAAAGATATTCACAACTAACCACATTTCGACGAACGGTTGTCATATTGGCTTTAATTTAAGATAACGGGAACGTAGTTTAGATTTGAAGTCCGATTATAACTACTAAACTCTTTTACATTAATTTTTTTATCAGATGAATTCGACTGTGCTACATTGACGGAGTCAATGAAGCGGTTAAAAGATGACTTAAGGTGCCTGATATGAAGTCTTTAGGAAAAACTATGCAATGACCACTTACCAAATATGCCAACAAGCAGGTCAAAAGCGCTATACGTATTACTCTAACCAAAGGATATTGATAGCAGTATAACTTCTAGTCATATTATTGACATATTAACAGCGACATTCATAATTTACAAAATTGTTTATCATCCGCATAGCAACTTCAAACTTGTTAATTCTCCAGGTACCCATAAGTTACGTTCTCAGTCGTAATTATCTATCGTGGACACTATTTAAGAACTCCCAATAAACATGTTCAGTAAGTCTGCTTTTCAGACTAAAGTTCTAATGATCTAGAAAGATGCTATCGTCAGCCCCATTTTGAAGAATGGAAAGTTTCGGCTTGTACTTTACCATTAGTTTGTTAGTGACAAATCACGAGGACTGAACCAGGACAGCTCACTTACTATCCCTATTTCTAAAGTCTACTGTTCCTGTTTTAAATAGTCCACACTATTGAAAAGATTAGGTTTGGCTTGCGATTCATGGGTTTGCTGCCCGGTGTTGTGATGTGCTGCACGTAACCTGGCTTAGATGTTTGCATTCTAGGTTTTTTTGGCCGAAATATCTAACCTACCGCATACTCTGATGGCGTTCTCGTGACTTTTGGGTTACCTAATCTGCCAAGGGCAATTAGACAATTCATGACGCTATTGTGTGTCATATTCGAAAAGGGCTGTTTGCTATGCGTGTGCACTCCGCCAGTTATTGTTCCTGTTTTCCTGGCTCTATTGAGAAAAGACGATCATGCTAGTTTATTAGCAAGACTATGCCAAAACATCCTACCAATAATAACCTTTGAAGCTTCAAACGTTTGGATATGATAGCTTTGCAAAACAGTCTACAGCAGGTGAGCTAGAAAGACTCAGATTGAAGGATCTTTCGTGCTATAAACCAGTCTGTCCGCAAACCGCCTCCGAAAATTAAAAATGATGTGCAGTCATAAAAAGTTGCACTCTTTGAACTCAAAGAGAGAGGTAATACTATGCGAAATACAAGCGAAGTAGTGACAACAGCACAT